GGGCTATTTTTCAAGTTGGCCGCCGACATTTTTTTTTTTTTTTTTTTTTTAATCAGAAATAGATCCATTTTAGCAGTGTTTTTCATGCTTTTTTTCTTAAAAAAAAAAAAAAAAAAAAAAAATAGGAGGCGGCCCCCAAAAAGGAAGCGGGCGGGAACGCTAAACATGTATATTTTTTTAAATGGCCCAACGTCGCTCAGCGCACAGTGCATTTAAAGGAATAATCCTATAATACCAGGTACCCATTTACATTACCTGGGTCGGGTGAAATACATTGCAAAGTGAAAAACTTTCGGCGTTAAAAGGGTCGTATCCGAATACATAAGGGCCTAGATGTGCCTACCTAGCCTATAGACTATGCTTTCAGTTAAATTGTAAATGCTACATTAAAATGATGCCACTAATATCTTTGAAGTTGACATGATTTATCCATGAAGTCTATGACTATTGTGTATGTCCTCTTCTCATCAAATTCATTACCATGCGAAACACAAAAACTGTCACAAATAGTACCCATAAAATTGCCATAAAACTCAGCTATTGTAGTATACGACTATAATAACTTATTGGATTACCAATATGACTGAATTAATGCTATGCGCATCTTTTAATTTCGCGCCAAAATGTGTAAGCTACAAATTCCGGGGATCGTCGGGGGAATTCGGGGAAAATCCCATATCTAAGTCAAGCGTATCAATAAAGAACTCTCACAACTCAGAATATATCGATGAATGAAACCAGATATTGAGGAAGTATTGTGTGATCAAATTCAATGGCAAGGTTTGTGTGGCGTAGCAAGTCATATAAATAATTGAGGGGTGGAAGTGAAAGCGGCGGGAAGGCGGGGGGGGGGGGGGTGAAGCCCTCTTTCATCCCGTCTCCCGGTACCTTTACACTATGTTGTATAATCAAGGAGGGTATTTATTTTAACTTTGGTATAGTTTTGTGTAAAGTTGATGGTTGGACTATGCATCCCGTGCGGTCATGCGCAGTAGCTAGTAGCAAACTTCACGTTCCCAACCCCAATTGATTGAAAACGTAAACCTCCACGCTTACGATAGGGCGTCACAGGGGCAGTTTGAAGCAGGAAAAGACATTGGTCCCAATTGCTGACAAATTCTTCAACATTTTCGAGAAAAAAATTGGACAAATAAATGCTCAAACAAATAAAGATGCGTCTATTTTCAAATACAGACAACAATAAAACAAACAAAATATGATTTGATTTATTTCGTTGTTAAATTTGCCGTGTCGGGTGAGGGTGACACGTTTGTTAAACTAATTAGACAACATGTCTTTAGGGATTTGAATATCGAAATTATGAATAGAAGCTATCACACCCCCATTATCCGTCGTCACCCCCTTTTTTTTATAATACCCCTGGTTACGCCTCTCAAATGATATCGTGATGGGTGTATGTATCGTAAAATGATAATGGTCCAATTGATAGAGGAGTGTTTTATGACTAAAAGGCCATCATTTTATAGTTTTGAGGGAAATTTAATATTTGACAAGATTTATGGTCTTAAAGGGGTGTGTCACCCGTAAGCTGACAGTTTATATTTTGCCACCGTGAGTTGTCAAGCCTGTGTCAATCCTAATTCTGTTTTCTGTAGTTACTTGAATTGTAATGTAAACTCGATGGCAAAAACTTTCGAAAAATCAACTCTTGGGCAGTTTCAATATCCTATTGTTGACCCTTCCATACAAAATAATTTTCGGATGACAAGTACACGGTAGTATGTCATTGTAATATTCGCACATTCCAACAGGTGACGGACAAAGCGATTAAAAATTGCCACCTGATGATTTTTCGAAAATCTTTCGAAAATCTTTGCGATTGCGTTCATATAATTTTCGGATTATTTGGATATTTACCATATTACAAAATGTACCTAGGAATACTATCTCTACGTCAGTCACTTTAAAGGGCTTCAATGACTATCCACTAATTTTGCAAAATGTGCACCGTTTTCATTATATATGACGTATTACCTGTATAATGATAAACCGTTATGATAAAACGTTCCTATGCATTTCGAAAAGGGTTTTGGATATGAATTCCCGAGCATCATGAGCTTTAGCTTCGGTAACACACAGTGCATTTAAAAAATTAAATCCTGACAAAATGCAAAGACTTTCGAGAAATGTAAGCAATTTCAATAGCCCTGTCGTCCAGTATTTGTTGTCATATGTTCGAACATCCAATACCGAACATGATTTCTAATTGATAGGCAATACAACAGTGTATTAAAATTACTCTAAAGTTGATTTCTCGAAAGTCTCTGCCATCGTGTTCCGGATACTCGTTTTGACGTCTGTAGATAAAACGCCCTGTCTTCGAACAAACGCACCGGGCAGAGATTCGAACCCTCGAACCTTTTGAATGAAAGTCAGGTGAATGAACTGCTAATATACCACAGTGCTCTAACACTTGCCACACGATACCTCCGTAACCATAGCAACCTGCATCCCCAAGAAAATGAAGTTTCCTTTATTTTTTTTTCCTTAAAAAAGAGGAGTTCATGGACTTTCCCGGTTGGCCTGGTATGCCCCATCAACAGTCACTGAAATTCAAGTTTGTTGGGGGTCACAAAAGACCTCTTAAAAGGGCCCCCGAATGTCACCTTGACCCCAACAAGATCCCCGCCCCCGGAAATCTGCATTCCTTACCCCTTTGTTCCTTCAGAGCAGGCGAAGGGGTACAGGTATGCACCTCCTCTATTACCCCTTGCTCATGACAACTCTTGTTAAACTCACAGTTAATGCGAGAAGCAATTATGATAAACGGTTGCTAAACGGGATGACGACTAGGACCTATGACATGCATGAAAGAAGGGCATTTTAATTGATTGGCATATCTGGCGAGACTCAGACTCAAGAACAATAACAAAATTAAAAGAGTGTCGAAAAGGATGTTATTAAAGAAATGAATGGGGGTTAAATTGTGACTTAAAAGGCTTTCATACAGAAGAGAAGAAAAAAAAATCGATTTGCTTAAGTTGTCCAAAAATAATCATGCGGATAAAAGATAAGATAAGAGAAAATGCATTTATTTATGAGAAATGAAGAATATGGGAAAAAAAATATGTAGATTTATGTAAAAAAAATAGCAGAGCAAAAGTCAACAAACAAATAAAGAAACTCGTACAAAAATAACACAAATCGAGACAAAAAATCAGACAGGGAAATAAGAAAGGAATACGTTCAAATGTTGAAGAGGAGAAGAGCAATAATGTTATAAAATTAACGCCATGGAATATGAACCGTGATAGAAGTCAAGAAATGGGACACTGTTTATGATAATAGGCCGATATATTTATTGAGATTTGAGAACAACAATAAATATTCAATCTTTGAATTTGAAGCGGAAGAGGAGGAAGAGGAAGAGGAAGAGGAAGAAAAACAGTTTCAAGGATGCAACTTTCAAACCTCATGACAAAATGTAATCGATATACAAGTCATGATGTACGTCTGTCGTCTGCTGAGAGCCAGAAGGGCGTTAAAGGTACTATGTCCCATTTGCAGGCTAAAAAAAATGAAAAAGTTAAATTCCAACTGCATTTGAAAGATAATACTAATTTAGAACTTCCCTTAAAAAGGTGGGGCTTGAAAATGTCTTCAAGTGGGAAAATAATGACTACTAGCTGTCAAATCGACTTTAGGGCTATAGAGCCCAAAAGTAATAGTCTTGATTTTCAGACAATTGTACCGAATGGTCATACGTTTTATGCTGCGCAAAGATTCAATCAGTTTAATCTTGGCCATCACAAGAAGTGGGTTATTAATGTAGACAAATGCTCATGTACCCTTTACAACTCTTTTCATGTATGTTATTACCAAAGAAGAAAAAAGCCAGTCAGTCACTCAATAGTGTCTGACAGTGAAGTCTAGCAAGTAAACGGGTTTTCTTGCATAATTTGAATATGAGGACACTGCTAACGTTTAAATTTCAATGATAGGACATAAGAAGATAGGTACCCCTATATAGGAAGTGTTAATTGGCATTTCCGGTTAATTAGTTTATCCTTCCGGTTAATTAGTTAATCCTTCCGGTGACTTCCGGTAAACAATAGGGGGGTGTTAATGAGTTAATTGGGGTGTCCTTCCGGCGGAAGTTACGTAATGAGGGTACATCCCCTGGAGGAAGTTCTTTTGTTTACATCATTCATTCATTCATGGAGAGGTGGAGGATGGACGTGTGTAGGGTACGAGGGACAAGGACCAAATGACCAAACAATGGGCCACCCGGCATGTATGTTGAATGTGTGTGTTACCGACCAATGAGAATGCGAGGATTTTTTTAGAAAGGAAGTGACCCAAAGTTGGTACTTGTTTGTGATTGGACGAGAGAAAATGGTGAACCTATGGGCAAGTATCATATGACATCTAACTGTCGTTGAGTCAACATCGCTTTGTTTTTGTTGTAATACTGGCCAGATTCTATAATGTACCATGATTTATACATGTGATTTAATGCACAAGCTTCGGGCATGTACATGCCTGGAAGAAGTATCGAGTTTTCGTGAGGAATATTATGAAGACCTTGAACCAGAACAACATGCTTTGGTATTTGCAAGGTCATCCTACTTTTTGAGTTTGCAGGACTTGGAAGATGGTAAGTGCTAATCATATTTATTTATTTATTTTCATATTCATAATTGAATAATTTTGTAGTGTTACCATATCGGGTTTGCATCTGGAATTCAAGAAGGAGATTAAGCATCGAAAATCCATAATAGGCAACGATGTGACATAATGAGTGTTTTTTTTTGTTCAATGCAAATTAAATAATGATTGATATCTCCATTTGAAACATAAACTCACGTGTAAGCAAAAAAAAAAGAAGATTTATAAAGTATTATAAAGTATACGTTCAAATTATAAATTTAATTAAATTATTCAATTATACTTGTAGGGATTACCGATGATGATTTAGTGGATGTGTTCGTCGAGAACCAACAGCCCCCTCTCCCCCTAGCAACGCAGCACCAACCAGCAAGGTCTTCCACATGACGCAGCTACTCCATGGCAACCAAATTTTGATGACGGTTAGTGTATACTTCATTTATATATACATCAATGCAAAGGATCATTGGATGAATGTTCATTTTTTTTTTTTCATGTATGAAGACAACACAATACATTGTAGCGGTTCTTATATATCTTTTTTTTTTTTTTTTTTTTTTTTTTTTTTTTTTTTAAATCTCATAGGCATTTCCGATGACCATTTAATGGAGATGGACATCAATACAAATAAGCCATGTGACGCAACATCAGTACCTGGCCCCTCTAACCGCCAACCAGCAGCAACAGCAGTGGCTGGACCCTCCCGCCATCCAGCATCAGCAGTGGCCGGACCCTCCCGACAACCACCAGCAGTGGCTGGACCTTCCCGTCAACCAAGAGCAGTGGCCGGACCCTCCCGACAACCACCATCAGTAGCCGGACCCTCCCACAGTCAACCAAGAGCAGCAGCAGTAGCCGGACCCTCGTCTTTTCATGTTGGGGGATCTAAGAAACGTGTTGTAGATGCACCGCCTGCAAGAGAACCCAATCTCCCTACTCATCACGTGACCAAAGTGAGTCAAAAACATGTACGCAAATACAATGCTAATGTAACTGATTACACCGTTTCTTTCCAACCCATAGAAAATAACGGTCCCATGATAGAAATGATGCCACGCGTAAATGAGATGTTTGAAAATATCATTGAAGAGATGGTTGAGGGGGTAAATGATAGAGATTTTGTTAGGATTGTTTTCAATTCCCCACAATTAGATAGACCCGTTAGTATGCCATTTGTAAGGAGGGATCAAATGAATCACGAAGCATTTGCAACCAAACTTGAGAATACTATTCAATCGAATGATAAGGTAAGCTTGGACGAAACAGTCTCTTTCAACATATTACACATGGCTATGCCAAATGGTGGTGGTTCCAATGTGAAGTGCTTAACCATCGAAGAGACATTGTCCAGAAAAAGATGCATCATCAGGATGAAGAATAAAGATAACATGTGTTGTCCAAGGGCTATCGTAACTGGCATTGCCCGGATTGAAAAACACCCTAATTTTGAGTCGATCAAACGTGGTTACAAACAGCAAAGGGAAAAGACGGAATTCATGGCCGGTTTCAGGGTGGTGGTTGTTTCAAAAGAGCACTTAAACTTCATTACGTATGCTGGCCCCGAAGACAGGCAGCATACCATTTATCTGTATGTTCATGACAATCACTTTGATCTCATTACATCAATGGCCGCCTTCTACAACAAGTCATATTTTTGCCACGAGTGTTTGGTAGGATACGACAAGAAACTCAGACACGACTGCATTTTCCGCTGCAAACTTTGCAAGGGAGATGACTGCCCCGCCTCCAATGACCCCGATTCCTACAAATGCATTAGCACCTGACTTGATGTACAAAGAGCATTAGCGCCTTTACACCTTCTTATTTTGTTTTCTTTAAACAAAAAAACTTTTTTATCATTACGTTTTTTCTTTTTTCTTTTAAAAGTTTCATAATATTATTATTATTTTTTTTTTTTTTTTTTTTTTTTTTTTGGTAGATCATTTTGCACGAACCGATCATTTTTTTGTCCACTTTGAAGACTTGATTCTTTAAAGATGTCATTTCTTTTTCTTTAAAAAAGGTGTATAACATTTTCTTTATTAGATAATTTTGCACGAACCGATCTTTTTTGTTTCCACTTTGAAGACTTGATGCAAACAAAAAAGTGTTTACGCCTGTACGCTTTTTTTCTTAATTTATATTAACATTTTTTTTTGTGTGTGTGTGTGTGTTAACTTTCTGTCAAGATGATATTTCTTTATCTTTAAAAAAGTTTTATAACTTTTTCTTTACTGATAAGTTTGCACGAACCGATCTTTTTTTCCACTTTAAAGACTTGATGCAAAAAAGTCTTAACGCCTGTACGCTTTTTTAATTTGTTTTAACATTTGTTTTTTGTTTTTTGTTTAAATTTCTGTCAAGATGTTATTTCTTTATCTTTAAAAAAGTTTTAAAACTTTTTCTTTAAAAGATAATTTTGCACGAACCGATCTTTTTTTTTTTTTCCACTTTGAAGACTTCATGCAAAAAGATGTTAACGCCTGTACGCTTTTTTAATTTGTTTTAACATTTCATTTTTTTTTGTGGTTGGTCATTTTGCACGAACGGATCATTTTTTTTTTCCACTTTGATTCTCTCAAGACATTATTTCTTTTTCGTTTAAATAAGTTTTATACTTTTTTTTTTTTTTAAAGATCATTGTTGCACGAACCAATCTTTTTTTTTTCCTTCCACTTTGAAGATTAGATAGAAAAAAAAAGTGTTAACGCCTGTACGCTTTTTTACAAATTTGTTTTAAATTGTTTTGATTTAACTTTCTGTCAAGACGTTATTTCTTTTTCTTTATAAGATTATTTTGCAAAACTCGATCATTCCCCCCCCCCCCACCCCTTTGAAGACTTGATGTACAAAAAAGCATCAACGTCTGTACACTTTCTTTATTCTTATTTTTATTTTTTTAAACTTTCTGTCATTACGTTATTCTTTTCTTTAACATTTTGTATAATTTGTTGGATCATTTTGTACGAATCGATATGTTTAACCCTATTTAAAGACTTGATGCAAAAAAGTATTAATACCTGTACATTTTCTTACTTTATTTAATTTTTTTTTACTTTACGTCAAGGGCGTTATTCCTTGTTTCTATACAGACTCGACATGAATTTTTCTCTCGTAATAATGTACAAGTTCCGACAAGATTGAGAACAACTTTTATATGGTTGCATGTTTAAGAAACGATTTGTATATATATATTTTTTTTTGTCAATTTTTTTTTTAATGCACTGGACGGCCCTTTCAATATCGAATAATGATCTTCCAAGGGGGCCCTGTCTTTATAGTTCAAATGCATTTATAATGAAAAAAACATATTATATAAATTATAATACAATAGAAACAAGAATAAAGTACAAAAACATTCAAAACTAAGATTTAGAACAATGACACAGCATAACTCCCCCAAAAAGGTTTACAAAATATGACAATACTGTCATACAATATCAATATAAATATGAATCAAAAGACAGAAATCGTTTCTCAGAGGGCATTCACAATACTTATCTGTTCATATTACATCTTCAATGATAATAAAGATAATTTACTTGTACGTAAATCAGGCGATAGGGTACTCCACATGAGTGAACCTTAGTAGTGAAGGGATCTTGTAAAACAATCAGTTGTAGGTCTTGTGATTAAGAGTAGGGAATGTTCCGCATGTCTCGTATAAATGAACACTGGTACAAAATTCTCGGAATAATAATTGTTTTCAGCTCCAAAGGTATACATTTTGTTGTGTGTGGATTATATGCATATTATAGACAAAATGTGGTACTCCATTCTCCGACAAACCGATTGCCAAGAATTTTCAGATAACATAAAAAAAACATGAGGTGTAGAAATCTGCGTTAAATACAAGTCTTGCATAGTTGGGGTTTGAAATGTTTGAACTCTTGTTATGTTACATATTGCACCCGGCACCTCGCCACAGTATTTTCACAGTAGTTAATGTACGATTTACAAAAGAAAAGAGAAGAATATTATTATAGGTCATTAATAAAACACGTTTGGGACAAGAGATATCGATTGTGTCTGATAAAACCAATAGTTATTGGCAATGCAGTACATGATCTATAAATGCGACATTTCCAAAGTAGGGAAGACTTAATGATCAATACAAGTCCTGATTTATATTCGTGTTTCACTTGTTCGAGAAATGATGATATTACTGCTTCAAAGGCTGTAAAATCAGATCAATGCAGATTGTTACTAATATTCGATATTCTAGCAAGTAGTAACTGTTTGCTTCGGCAGTTTAGATGACAAGGGGGGTGGGGGTATCAATGATGATGATTATTACAAGTGGAATCTCGAAGGATAATAACATTTGAAGTAGATTGTAAAGGTTTTTTTTTCTCCTTTAAATTGGAGTTCTGCTTTAGAATAGAAGTCAGTTGAAGAACTAGGTGTTCGATAAACAATAGCAATTAAACGAAATTGTGGATATTTAAATCTTCCTTCAAACCTTAACATTTCAAGGTTCTCATGTTTTAAATCATGTTTGCAGTTGTAAATCAAATTCTAATTTCTAGTTAATATAACAAGCAACAACACTACCTGATATATTGTTATCTTTTCTTACAAGATTGTAACTACTTAAATCAAGCTCAGAATCAAGGCTTCTTGCAAGTCAAGTTTATCAAAAGGATTGTTAAACAAATGGTTTATGTGGTTAAATTCCCATCTAGTGCTATGTATATGTAAGTGAGCTATTGTAAAAAAAAAACCTTTCTATCAAAATCCAGATTTCCCGGCGAAACATTTTATTTTAGTTTGTTTAGTTTATCATTATCATAAAACAACAAGAATATCTACAGCATCATGTGAGTTAAAAGGCATATATTCCTTCACCATTAACCATACACTACTATCATCACGATCCGCGACATGAAGGTAGCCATGATTCATTGATAGTGTTGCGTTGATGAAACAAATGATCTAATTGACTGTTGCTTGTGGAATACCGTATTGTGATAATGTCAAAAACGTTGTGATTGGATAAGTATCTCGAGTCAAGTGATACAAATGTATTTATGTTTTTCTCCGTTTTTCAAATAATGCGCGAGTTTTGTGCTTGTACGACTTTCAGGGAACGTTATCAGATATATATTTTTTTTAAACAATATCATGTAAAAAACAACAACATGTAGTTCCTTGAGATGGGTCACGAAAGTAAACAAGTTTCGGCGAGTGGACACTTTTCGCGAATCGTAGACTCATCGCGCCGATCTAGACTGCGGTGAGATGGGTCACATCTCGCACGTAGACTGCGGTTCGATGAGTCTACGATTCGCGAAAAGTGTCCACTCGCCGAAACTTGTTTACTTTCGTGACCCATCTCAAGGAACTACATGTTGTTGTTTTTTACATGATATTGTTTAAAAAAAATATATATCTGATAACGTTCCCTGAAAGTCGTACAAGCACAAAACTCGCGCATTATTTGAAAAACGGAGAAAAACATAAATACATTTGTATCACTTGACTCGAGATACTTATCCAATCACAACGTTTTTGACATTATCACAATACGGTATTCCACAAGCAACAGTCAATTAGATCATTTGTTTCATCAACGCAACACTATCAATGAATCATGGCTACCTTCATGTCGCGGATCGTGATGATAGTAGTGTATGGTTAATGGTGAAGGAATATATGCCTTTTAACTCACATGATGCTGTAGATATTCTTGTTGTTTTATGATAATGATAAACTAAACAAACTAAAATAAAATGTTTCGCCGGGAAATCTGGATTTTGATAGAAAGGTTTTTTTTTTACAATAGCTCACTTACATATACATAGCACTAGATGGGAATTTAACCACATAAACCATTTGTTTAACAATCCTTTTGATAAACTTGACTTGCAAGAAGCCTTGATTCTGAGCTTGATTTAAGTAGTTACAATCTTGTAAGAAAAGATAACAATATATCAGGTAGTGTTGTTGCTTGTTATATTAACTAGAAATTAGAATTTGATTTACAACTGCAAACATGATTTAAAACATGAGAACCTTGAAATGTTAAGGTTTGAAGGAAGATTTAAATATCCACAATTTCGTTTAATTGCTATTGTTTATCGAACACCTAGTTCTTCAACTGACTTCTATTCTAAAGCAGAACTCCAATTTAAAGGAGAAAAAAAAACCTTTACAATCTACTTCAAATGTTATTATCCTTCGAGATTCCACTTGTAATAATCATCATCATTGATACCCCCACCCCCCTTGTCATCTAAACTGCCGAAGCAAACAGTTACTACTTGCTAGAATATCGAATATTAGTAACAATCTGCATTGATCTGATTTTACAGCCTTTGAAGCAGTAATATCATCATTTCTCGAACAAGTGAAACACGAATATAAATCAGGACTTGTATTGATCATTAAGTCTTCCCTACTTTGGAAATGTCGCATTTATAGATCATGTACTGCATTGCCAATAACTATTGGTTTTATCAGACACAATCGATATCTCTTGTCCCAAACGTGTTTTATTAATGACCTATAATAATATTCTTCTCTTTTCTTTTGTAAATCGTACATTAACTACTGTGAAAATACTGTGGCGAGGTGCCGGGTGCAATATGTAACATAACAAGAGTTCAAACATTTCAAACCCCAACTATGCAAGACTTGTATTTAACGCAGATTTCTACACCTCATGTTTTTTTTATGTTATCTGAAAATTCTTGGCAATCGGTTTGTCGGAGAATGGAGTACCACATTTTGTCTATAATATGCATATAATCCACACACAACAAAATGTATACCTTTGGAGCTGAAAACAATTATTATTCCGAGAATTTTGTACCAGTGTTCATTTATACGAGACATGCGGAACATTCCCTACTCTTAATCACAAGACCTACAACTGATTGTTTTACAAGATCCCTTCACTACTAAGGTTCACTCATGTGGAGTACCCTATCGCCTGATTTACGTACAAGTAAATTATCTTTATTATCATTGAAGATGTAATATGAACAGATAAGTATTGTGAATGCCCTCTGAGAAACGATTTCTGTCTTTTGATTCATATTTATATTGATATTGTATGACAGTATTGTCATATTTTGTAAACCTTTTTTGGGGAGTTATGCTGTGTCATTGTTCTAAATCTTAGTTTTGAATGTTTTTGTACTTTATTCTTGTTTCTATTGTATTATAATTTATATAATATGTTTTTTTCATTATAAATGCATTTGAACTATAAAGACAGGGCCCCCTTGGAAGATCATTATTCGATATTGAAAGGGCCGTCCAGTGCATTAAAAAAAAAATTGACAAAAAAAAATATATATATACAAATCGTTTCTTAAACATGCAACCATATAAAAGTTGTTCTCAATCTTGTCGGAACTTGTACATTATTACGAGAGAAAAATTCATGTCGAGTCTGTATAGAAACAAGGAATAACGCCCTTGACGTAAAGTAAAAAAAAATTAAATAAAGTAAGAAAATGTACAGGTATTAATACTTTTTTGCATCAAGTCTTTAAATAGGGTTAAACATATCGATTCGTACAAAATGATCCAACAAATTATACAAAATGTTAAAGAAAAGAATAACGTAATGACAGAAAGTTTAAAAAAATAAAAATAAGAATAAAGAAAGTGTACAGACGTTGATGCTTTTTTGTACATCAAGTCTTCAAAGGGGTGGGGGGGGGGGGGAATGATCGAGTTTTGCAAAATAATCTTATAAAGAAAAAGAAATAACGTCTTGACAGAAAGTTAAATCAAAACAATTTAAAACAAATTTGTAAAAAAGCGTACAGGCGTTAACACTTTTTTTTTCTATCTAATCTTCAAAGTGGAAGGAAAAAAAAAAGATTGGTTCGTGCAACAATGATCTTTAAAAAAAAAAAAAAGTATAAAACTTATTTAAACGAAAAAGAAATAATGTCTTGAGAGAATCAAAGTGGAAAAAAAAAATGATCCGTTCGTGCAAAATGACCAACCACAAAAAAAAATGAAATGTTAAAACAAATTAAAAAAGCGTACAGGCGTTAACATCTTTTTGCATGAAGTCTTCAAAGTGGAAAAAAAAAAAAAGATCGGTTCGTGCAAAATTATCTTTTAAAGAAAAAGTTTTAAAACTTTTTTAAAGATAAAGAAATAACATCTTGACAGAAATTTAAACAAAAAACAAAAAACAAATGTTAAAACAAATTAAAAAAGCGTACAGGCGTTAAGACTTTTTTGCATCAAGTCTTTAAAGTGGAAAAAAAGATCGGTTCGTGCAAACTTATCAGTAAAGAAAAAGTTATAAAACTTTTTTAAAGATAAAGAAATATCATCTTGACAGAAAGTTAACACACACACACACACAAAAAAAAATGTTAATATAAATTAAGAAAAAAAGCGTACAGGCGTAAACACTTTTTTGTTTGCATCAAGTCTTCAAAGTGGAAACAAAAAAGATCGGTTCGTGCAAAATTATCTAATAAAGAAAATGTTATACACCTTTTTTAAAGAAAAAGAAATGACATCTTTAAAGAATCAAGTCTTCAAAGTGGACAAAAAAATGATCGGTTCGTGCAAAATGATCTACCAAAAAAAAAAAAAAAAAAAAAAAAAAAATAATAATATTATGAAACTTTTAAAAGAAAAAAGAAAAAACGTAATGATAAAAAAGTTTTTTTGTTTAAAGAAAACAAAATAAGAAGGTGTAAAGGCGCTAATGCTCTTTGTACATCAAGTCAGGTGCTAATGCATTTGTAGGAATCGGGGTCATTGGAGGCGGGGCAGTCATCTCCCTTGCAAAGTTTGCAGCGGAAAATGCAGTCGTGTCTGAGTTTCTTGTCGTATCCTACCAAACACTCGTGGCAAAAATATGACTTGTTGTAGAAGGCGGCCATTGATGTAATGAGATCAAAGTGATTGTCATGAACATACAGATAAATGGTATGCTGCCTGTCTTCGGGGCCAGCATACGTAATGAAGTTTAAGTGCTCTTTTGAAACAACCACCACCCTGAAACCGGCCATGAATTCCGTCTTTTCCCTTTGCTGTTTGTAACCACGTTTGATCGACTCAAAATTAGGGTGTTTTTCAATCCGGGCAATGCCAGTTACGATAGCCCTTGGACAACACATGTTATCTTTATTCTTCATCCTGATGATGCATCTTTTTCTGGACAATGTCTCTTCGATGGTTAAGCACTTCACATTGGAACCACCACCATTTGGCATAGCCATGTGTAATATGTTGAAAGAGACTGTTTCGTCCAAGCTTACCTTATCATTCGATTGAATAGTATTCTCAAGTTTGGTTGCAAATGCTTCGTGATTCATTTGATCCCTCCTTACAAATGGCATACTAACGGGTCTATCTAATTGTGGGGAATTGAAAACAATCCTAACAAAATCTCTATCATTTACCCCCTCAACCATCTCTTCAATGATATTTTCAAACATCTCATTTACGCGTGGCATCATTTCTATCATGGGACCGTTATTTTCTATGGGTTGGAAAGAAACGGTGTAATCAGTTACATTAGCATTGTATTTGCGTACATGTTTTTGACTCACTTTGGTCACGTGATGAGTAGGGAGATTGGGTTCTCTTGCAGGCGGTGCATCTACAACACGTTTCTTAGATCCCCCAACATGAAAAGACGAGGGTCCGGCTACTGCTGCTGCTCTTGGTTGACTGTGGGAGGGTCCGGCTACTGATGGTGGTTGTCGGGAGGGTCCGGCCACTGCTCTTGGTTGACGGGAAGGTCCAGCCACTGCTGGTGGTTGTCGGGAGGGTCCGGCCACTGCTGATGCTGGATGGCGGGAGGGTCCAGCCACTGCTGTTGCTGCTGGTTGGCGGTTAGAGGGGCCAGGTACTGATGTTGCGTCACATGGCTTATTTGTATTGATGTCCATCTCCATTAAATGGTCATCGGAAATGCCTATGAGATTTAAAAAAAAAAAAAAAAAAAAAAAAAAAAAAAAAAAGATATATAAGAACCGCTACAATGTATTGTGTTGTCTTCATACATGAAAAAAAAAAAATGAACATTCATCCAATGATCCTTTGCATTGATGTATATATAAATGAAGTATACACTAACCGTCATCAAAATTTGGTTGCCATGGAGTAGCTGCGTCATGTGGAAGACCTTGCTGGTGCTGCGTTGCTAGGGGGAGAGGGGGCTGTTGGTTCTCGACGAACACATCCACTAAATCATCATCGGTAATCCCTACAAGTATAATTGAATAATTTAATTAAATTTATAATTTGAACGTATACTTTATAATACTTTATAAATCTTCTTTTTTTTTTGCTTACACGTGAGTTTATGTTTCAAATGGAGATATCAATCATTATTTAATTTGCATTGAACAAAAAAAAACACTCATTATGTCACATCGTTGCCTATTATGGATTTTCGATGCTTAATCTCCTTCTTGAATTCCAGATGCAAACCCGATATGGTAACACTACAAAATTATTCAATTATGAATATGAAAATAAATAAATAAATATGATTAGCACTTACCATCTTCCAAGTCCTGCAAACTCAAAAAGTAGGATGACCTTGCAAATACCAAAGCATGTTGTTCTGGTTCAAGGTCTTCATAATATTCCTCACGAAAACTCGATACTTCTTCCAGGCATGTACATGCCCGAAGCTTGTGCATTAAATCACATGTATAAATCATGGTACATTATAGAATCTGGCCAGTATTACAACAAAAACAAAGCGATGTTGACTCAACGACAGTTAGATGTCATATGATACTTGCCCATAGGTTCACCATTTTCTCTCGTCCAATCACAAACAAGTACCAACTTTGGGTCACTTCCTTTCTAAAAAAATCCTCGCATTCTCATTGGTCGGTAACACACACATTCAACATACATGCCGGGTGGCCCATTGTTTGGTCATTTGGTCCTTGTCCCTCGTACCCTACACACGTCCATCCTCCACCTCTCCATGAATGAATGAATGATGTAAACAAAAGAACTTCCTCCAGGGGATGTACCCTCATTACGTAACTTCCGCCGGAAGGACACCCCAATTAACTCATTAACACCCCCCTATTGTTTACCGGAAGTCACCGGAAGGATTAACTAATTAACCGGAAGGATAAACTAATTAACCGGAAATGCCAATTAACACTTCCTATATAGGGGTACCTATCTTCTGACATACATGACATATTCATAATTCCTGCAATACCTTTAACTCATATTTTTTTCTTCTAGAGTTAGCGCCCTTCTGTATCTCAACAGTTACTGAAAGGCATCGTAACAATGTGAAATCTGAGATGCATGGCCCTACGTGTTATCAGTGTCTGTGATATGGTGTTATATTGAAGCCCTAACAAAATTGCGTTTCAAAATGATCATGAATGCCTCAAAAAAGTAAAAATCTTTGAGTGACCGGTTTTACCATACGCATTTTCTCCAATAGACTGTAGTGTCATAAAAACCGTTAGAAAAACGGTTGTTGAAATTTCGATTTCCAACCATAAATATCTTGATAATCAGACAGGCGATCGGCTTGTAAAAGTCATGGGGTTCCTAACTGACCTAAAGGTTTATAATTATCATTGCAGCATGAGCTAAATCCAGGACACTCAATCCCTTTCAATTTTGATTTTTATCATGTTTACAACAGAGGGAAATTCAACGTAAAATAGATTGTCAACATGTAAAAGAAAATCTGAAAATCTTTGAATGTATCAATTTTATTAGGACTTAAATGATTCATATCGAAGTTGGTATTTTACATTTCAAGGTAATCGTTTATCCTTGAAATTTCTCAAGCTTTTGATCGAGATCTTCACATGGGTCCCATAAATCCGTATATAATCTGTTTAAATTATATTTGGCTATTGGAAATAATAAAACATGAAGGGGAATGTGAAATCTACACGGACGCACGATTTGTCCGGAAAGTAAATCATTTTAGTCTATCTGTTTGTGAACGGCGATTACACGAGCTTTCCAACTTTCAAGACCACTTCCAGTCAGGTGTTGGTCAAACAATTAACATTTTGTGTTGAGGGAGGGGTGGTTCTAAGAGGTTGTATAATGAAATGCGAATTTTATGACAGGGACACCGTTTAGGGCGGAGCTGGTGGATGGGGGAGTGGGTTCTAGGACACCTACCCCCTGGACAACCACCCCGGATAACCAGCCGTAGGACAACTACCCCCGAGGGCAACCACCCTCTAGAACTACTAGCCCCCTAGGACAACTACCCCCGGACAACTATCATGTCCGGATACGGGGGGGGGGGTGGTAATGATGAGATTTTAAATGTTCCCTTCGCTCTCCTTTAACTTTTCCTCCCCCCCCCCTCCCCCACCTTTTTCACCATTGCATTAAAGAGGCATGTATCCCCGCCCACCCCAGGGTTACTCCTAGGTTCACTCGGAACATGGACTTATAAACTAGAGGCTAAGATCTTAATTGGTGAGATGGGGAGGTTCCTCGAACTGCAAACAAGGAAGCACTTCTGGGACCCCTTGAGCAAATAGGGTCAAAATAGTGCTCCCAATTGTCCGGGGAAAACAGGACAGGCGAGACAGTTCAAATAGATGACCATTGTCTCCGGTCAAGCCAAACACATTTCTGTGTAATGGCAATTTGTGAGTTTACAACTAGACACACACACACCGTCGGGCAAATTGACCATTCGCTAGCCAAGGTCAGATACAAGCGGTCAATGCCATGAGTTTTTTCTAGGCTAAGCGTCGGGTCAGGAGTTCTTGGAAACAGCAGGCATCGCTGGCGTCCCAATTACCTGATACCAAGCCCAGCCGATCAGAGGGGTAGCGACAGGAGGCCAGGGGGACGACAACGAAGAAGAAGAAGAAGAAGATGAAGAAGGAAGAAGAAGAAAGAGAAGAAGAAGATGATGATAATGATGAAGAAGAAGAAGAAGCCAAACAAGAAGATGAAGAAGAAGAAGAAGGAGAAGAAGAAGAAAGGAGAAGCAGAAAGAAAAGAAGATGAGGAGGAGGATGATAGGGATGATGATGATGAAGAAGAAGAAGAAGAAGAAGAAGAAGAAGAAGAAGAGAGAGAGACATAGACAGACCCCCCCCCCCACACACACACACACACACACAGAAAAAGAGACGGATTAAAGAGATAGACTACAAGAATAGAGAGAAGCAATGTTTCCTGTAGTATACACTTGAGAAGTGACAGCAATCCAATGGTGGAGAGAAAAAAGGGGTGGGAGGGTGAAAAGAATAACAAAAAAGGGAGGCGGTAAAAGCAACGAAAAGATGATAAGACCCCCCCCCCCCCCCATCATTCGTTAACATCGTTCTCTTGCATTCCATACACCTGGTCAAACCGCCCCCCCCCCCCCTCCGGCCGTGACACCAGTGCCCCCTCACTCGCCGGATCCACGCTACACCACTAGATTTAAAGATTCGTCAGAGGTCGTTTCGCGGAAGTTGGATACCATATCTATGACTTCTGCGTTACAAGTTAAAGATGATTAACACCTCTGAAAGATACATCTACCACAATGAATATAATATGATTCATTGTTTTTGTTGTACTCAGTCATGCTGGTGGTAATTTTTTTTCCGGCAGCGTACCCATGATCTCGAGGCTGCTCGAATCTGCGTACAGAACTTCGCTTTCCTCTTAATCATGCAACATAATTTGGGTAAAACAAGGGGTAAAACGGTGGTCCAACTCCAAAGAGCCAAATACTATGAAATGTAAGAAAACGGCTTCTACTCAGTCGGCAAACTTAGCCAATAGTATTTGTTACTATTTTTCCTCCTAATAATGCTCACAACATAATTTGGGTAAAATGGTGGTCATTTTAAAGGGATCGTTTAACAATGTTAAATCTGAGATACACGGCCCTAAGTGTTATCAGTGTCTGTGATATGGTGTAATATTGAAAATATCAAAATGATCAAGAAATGCCTCAAAAAAGTAAAAATCTTTGAGTGACCGGTTTTACCATACTCGTTTTCCCCAATAGACTGCAGTGTTATGAAAACCGTCAGGCGAACGGTTTTCAAAATTTGTAATTCCAATCATAAATATCTTGATAATCAGACAGGCGATCGGCTTGTAAAAGTCATGGGGTTCCTGACTGACCTAAAGGTTTATAATTATCATTGCATCATGAGCTAAATCCAGAATTTTGTTTCATAATCTGAGACAAAGTTACCGGATCCCCTTAAAGGGAGTCGAAAGACAGCCAAATATTATGAAATGTAACTGTAAGAGAACGACTTCTGCTCAGTCGGCAAACTTAGCTAATATTATTATTTTTTGCTGTATTTTTCGAAAAATTAATTAATGATCAAAATTAAAGATAATGTGTTTGTGATGTCCAATCACGGCTTTTTATTTTGGCGCGTTTTTTGAACCCGGATGCATAACCATAAGCCTCATCATATATCAATTAGTGGTTTTATGATAAAGAAGGTTTCATGTTATCCGCAGACTCTTATTTTCGTTTCAAGCATCTCATTTTCACATTCCAATGAGAATCCTGGATAATAGCGGTTTAAAGGTTACCTGAAAACCTCAACATTTGAATGCCGGGCTGATTGATTAATGTATTTCTTTTAAATCTTATCAAAAGTGACCCTTTTTTACTTTCAATCATCCACCTCTTATCTTTAAATGTAAATCCTGGATACGAAAGTTGCCATAAAACCTCAACATGAAATTAACGGATTGATGACATTTTCATTTCCTTTTAAAGGTACTATGTCCCATTTGCAGGCCAAAAAATGAAAAGGTTAAATTCCAACGGAATTTCAAAGACAATACTAATTTAGAACTTCCCTAAAAAAGGGAGGCTTGAAAATGTCTTTAAGTGGGAAAATAACGACTATTAGTTGTTGAATCGACTTAGGAGCTATAGAGCCAATAAGTAATAGTCTGATTTTTCAGACCATTGTAGCGAATGGTCGTACGTTTTATGATGCGCAAAGATTCAATCAGTTTAATTTTGGCCATTACAAGAAGTGGGTTATCAATGTAGACAAATGCTCATGTACCCTTTACAGCCCATTTTATGTATGTTATTACCAAAGATGAAAAAAGCCAGTCAGTCACTCAATAGTATCTGACAGTGAATTCTAGCAAGTAAACGGGTTTCCTTGCATAATTTGAATATTAGGACACTGATAAGCTTTAAATTTCACAGATAGGCATGACATATACATAATTCCTGCAAAGTTCTACAAAATTTGATGTTGGCTGCAAAAGGGACATAGTGTCTTTAATCGTAAGCTAAGGTTATTTGGATTCATAAGAACAGTTGAATTTTGAAGAAGCTAAAGCTCGGAAAACTTGAAGGTAATCTTTGCAAATCAGAAATCCGGCATGAAATTTGGATCATCTCTTATTTATATCTGCCAAACTCATTTTATTTGAATCAAAATTAACTTTTGGCTTTTTCCTTCATTATCGATTCGCGCAAAACTCCCTCTTATTCTTTCACAATAAATGCATGCAACTAATAATATTGTTAACATTACTTTGATTGTCATCTCCTATGAAATTACACATAATGAAACATTCTTATTTCTAGGGCCAACGCCTAGTCCGGCAACGATTCCCACCTTTGAACAAAAACATGCTTTTATAGAATCTAAACTTTCCTTCCCGGCATTTTTTAAAGATACTCTTGAAAACCCGGTCAAGATGAAATTTCCAAGGAAAAGTTTTCTCTGTGGTCAAATTTGTATGAGTCTTTTGCAACGGAAGATCCTTCTTCCACTTTCGATAGAGAATATGGTTGAAATCGTGAAACCGATTGCTCGAAGGGTGATCTTTGAATGTTTTTTGAAAGAGATATATAATAGCGCCATATGAATGCTGTGAATCATCATCATCATCATTATCATCTTCTATTCTCTTCTCTTCTCTTCTTGGGTTAGACTAAATGACGCAAATAAGATTATAATAATAATAATAACGTTTTATTTACCCAGGGTAGCCACTTCAGTTATAAAACTGTTCTTCCAGCGGGCCCTGCATAACATAATATGTTATTACTACCCTTCTCCAATCTAATATGCTGAGCGCCTAGCTAGAAGGCAGAAGGTCCCATTGGTGTAAGTCTTTGGTATG